CAGACTCTCCAGTTCTGGGACTGCAGGTGTGTGTCACCACGCCTGGCTGCATATGTGACGTACAATGTTTCCAGAGGCCCCAAGGTACTCTGTGTTCACACCTACCCATACTATTTCTTGGGGATCCATGTTGTCCCTATCTCTAGAAGGATGTCTTCTTTCTACCTTGCTAACTGTATGGATTTGAATGAGATTGGCCCCCACATGTTCATATATTTGCAAGCTTAGAACCCAGTTGGTGAACTGTTCAGAAGGATTAGGAAGTGTGGCCTTGTTGGAGGAAGTGTGTCATTGAGGGTGTTCCAAAGCCTGTGCCAAGTCTAATGTTGCTCTCTCTGTCTCCTACCCTGCTCTCAGGATGTAAAGCTTTCAGTTACTTCTTCAGCACCATACCTACCGGCCTGCGGCCATATGCTCACTGCCTTGATGATAATGGACCAGCCCTCTAAACTATAAGCCAGCCCCCAATTAAATGCTTTATTTTTATAAGAGTTGCCTTAGTTATGGTGTCTCTTCACAGACACAGAATACTAAGACACCTACTATCTCTGGTATATACTTAAGAACTCATTTCAAGCATGTTTTTCCCCATACTCTTCCAGCTATTAAAAAATATCTTGTGTATGTGTATGATATGTATGATATGTGTGTGTGTGTGTGTGAGAGAGAGAGAGAGACAGAGAGAGAGAGAGAGAGAGAGAGAGAGAGAGAGACAGACAGACAGACAGACAGACAGACAGAGGGACACAGAGATATGTTGTAGCATGTGTATGAGACAGGATCTCTTTGTTGTTTGCTTGAGTGCGCCAGGATAGCTGGTCCTTGCATTTCCAAACATTTATCTATCTCTCCCCCGCACTGGCATTACAAATGTGGGCTACCATGGCAGACTTTATGTGGGTTCTGGGGATCTGAATGCTGGCCCTCACACTGGCACAGGCAAGAGCTTTCACCTTGAGCCATCTCCCCAATCCTTTTTAGAGAGCTCCTTTGTTCTTATTGATTCCTGCCTCTCTCCCTCTAACACAACACTAGCCAGTTAATGCTTCAAGTTTTCACGGGAGCATTAACCAAACCCTATTACCAGCATTTATAAAGTCCCTCATGGATCAAAAGACATTTTGATACCTTACATCCTCAGTTATACCACCTACTATATAATAAGCCTTGACCCTCTAAGAATGGACACATTTGAGCCAGGCAGTAGTGACTTTAAACACCTTTAACCCCAGCCCTTGGGAGGCAGAGGCAGAGGCAGATGAATCTCTATGAGTTCAAGGACAGGCTGGTCTACACAGCAAGTTTCAGGACAGCCAGGGCTACACACGGAAATTGGGTCTAGAAAAACCAAAACTAAAACAAAGAATGGACACATTTAGATACCTCTCATATTTTAGTAGTCGAACAATAATGCCCTTGTGGATATTGTTACACCTACCCCTTCTGAGGGTCACTCCCATAACAAGCCATTGCCGTTGCTGGGGACATGGGACAGCTTCTCTGTTCACAATGTCACAGATGTTAATGCCAAATCCCACTAGAATTTTGTTAACAAGTTTCAACTTTATTCATTTTCAAATGTTGCCCTTGTTTTCTGTTATTTGTGGCTGCTTTTCCCCCAGTGGAGTGACTTTCAGAGTCAGATATTTAAAAATGTCTGGGTAAATTTTCCTGTAAAATGGGGAGAGACTTTTAAAAAATGCTGTTCCTCTTATCGAAAGTTGGGAAGAAAGGGCTTTGGGGAAGGCACAGTCTCCTTTCAAACTACATAGTGGATTCAAGGACAACCTGGGCTACGTAAGACCAATCTTTTTCTTTTTTTTTCATTGTGATAGAAAATGCTTTTAGTCCCACAACCAAGCCCATCTTCCAGCATGATTTGGAGCTTATATTGGGAAAAGAGGAACAAGACAGGTATTAAGGGAACTTTCCCATGGTAAGAGGTCTTCAGTCTGTTTAAGACAATTTTACATATGCATCTTGTATACTAACTTAGTTCATACCCGTATTTTATATCAGACAGAAAAATGCTGAATATTTTTTTGTTGAAATCTTGATCTCAGGCAATTTGTACAGTGGGAGGTCAGAGGACACCTTGAGGGTTGGTTCTCTCCTTCTACCATGTGGATCCCAGGAATGGATCTCAGGTGGTTAGGACTGGCAGCACGTGCCTTTACCTACGATAGGGTATTGGGAGAGGAAAGAATTTGTAGGTCACAAAAGCCAAGTTTTATATGTTTGGAGTCAGTGACCTGGAGTGGGGTTCCTAACACTGCCACTTACCAATTTTGTGTCCTTAGGCAAGTCCACTCATTTTCTAGACTCCTGGTTTCTTCGTCCGTGAAAAAGAAACAGTATACACTTCTACATAAGTGTGTGACAGTTGATTTGAGGCATCCACCTGACTGGGTTAAGGGATTCTCAGCCCATTATGTGTGAGTGTGTCTGCTGGGCGTGCCTGGAAAAGACTGCAATGTGAATCAGTGGGCTGAGGCCAACAAGGGCAGTCCTCTAAGCCCCAGACATCAGCCCTCTGTCCTTCAGCATAAGAACTTCAAGTACCCTGATCTTTAGGCTCAGAGACTTACACCCATTCCCTCCCAACCCCTGGCATGCTCTTGGGCCTTCTCACTAAGACTGAGCACACTACATCATTAACTCTTCTGGTTCTTGGGTCTTTGGACTTGGACTGAGCTATGTCACAGAGTTTCATGGTTACCAGTCTGCTGGTATTGTGGGGCTTAGCCTTGGTGATAAATACCTTCATGAATCTATACCCTATTGTTTTTTCCCTGGAGAACACTGCCTAATAGGGGCTCTGGGAGGACTGACCAAACTAACAGGGCTTGTACTGGTAACTACCAGTTGGATGGGATCTTCTCTCTTCAACTCCATCCCATTTTGTTGAGCTGTGTTGTTACATTTCAAATGCTCTGGTCTCTATTAGAGGAACGCCTTCTAGAAAGGTTAGGTTGGGAAGGTTGATGTGGACCCATATTTGCTGACATAAAGTGACTGTCAAGATGGGTCAGCTCAGACAGCTTCAGTACAGCTTGCAGAGGTGAGCTAGAACCTTCCAGGCTCTGAGTCTACAGAAGCTGCCACAGAGGAGTCAGCTCATAGGAATACACAGATCCAGACTGTGGTGGACTGAATAAAATGTGCTCCTCCATAGGCTTCACAGAGAGTGGCACTATTAGGAGGCGTGGTCTTTTTGGAGGAAGTGTGTCACAGGGGATGGGCTTTGAGGTTTCAGAAGTTCAAATCAAATTTAGTGGCTCACTCTTCCTTCCTGCTGCCTGTCAATCTGGATGTAGAACTCTCAGCTACCTTTCCAGCACCATGTCTGTCCATGTACTACCATGCTTCCAGTAGGGAAAAGAATCACACTTTGGCCCTGCGACCAGAGCCAAATCTGACCCTAAACATGTGCAGAAAACTAGCCAATCCCGGAGCATGAGATCTAGCCATTCTGAGCTCAGGGATTGAAATCTGACCAATCCCCACCCTGGAAATCTCTCTAGAAAAACTCTGCCCCCTAAGAAGCCCTATATAAACCCTGTGTCTGTTCAGCTTGTGGCTGTCGGGCTGCCCAGCTGCCCAGCTGTCCTCTGCCACCCTGTCCTTCCTCTAGCGAAGTGGAGTTGTTACACTCTAGGGAACCTGAGCCTAACTGTAACAGCTTCACCTTGATGCCCTCCTCTGCTGGAGCAGAGCTGTCATACTGGGGAAGCCTTTCCCTGAAGCAAGGCTGTAAGTTGCTATGCTTACTGCGACCTGTGGCACTCCCAACTGCCAGAATAGCTTTCCACCAGAGCTGTAACACTCAGTATTCTGTGGCTCCTGATTGCCAGAATCCCCATCCATCTGAGCCACTGTAATGCTTACACTTCCCACCATGGCAATGATGTGTTAAACATCTGAACTGTAAGCCAGCCCCAATTAAATGTTTCCCTTCATAGGACTTGCCATGGTCATTTTGTTTCTTCACAGCAATAGAAACCCTTACACAAAGACCTTCCCACAAGGCAGTGCCAGGCCCTGGACTCAATGCAGGTTCAAATACTGCCTATGACTATGTGGGATATTTTCTTAATTGCAAGCTTGGGAGATTATGGGTACCTACTTTGGTGTACCTCAATATACCAGCCTCTCTTCTCCTGTTGAGAAGTCACACGATCCTCCCCAAAGGAGTGGTTGTCAATCTTCCTAATGTTGTGACCCTTTCATATAGTTCCTCATGCTTTGGGGACCTCCAACATAAAATTATTTCGTTGCTACTTCTTAGCTACAATTTTCCTACTGTTATGAACCGTAATGTAAATATCTGATATGTAGCATATGTGATATAGACCCCTGTGGTCTAGAACCGCTGCCCTAACACCTTCTATGCTCTGGTTCTGTCCTTGGTCCAGTCTATCCTACTGTCTCCCACTGCATTCTAAGGAAAGCATATACTGCTTTTTAGGGCTCAGGGAGTTGGTGCAAAGAGTGAGGGGCATGCAATATCTTGCTGCACAAAGGTGGGAGTGAAACTGGGTTCAAGAGAAGGGGGGCCCCTCGGGGCCAAACCGAGGTGCGGATCGGGCATCAGAGAAGCCCCGGCTCCACAAAGGGTCTGCCGTCCTGGCTGACCCCCACTCTGGAACGGGGAGACGGTAAGAATGCACTCAGTGAGGCACCATAAGCTGTGAGCGTGCAGGGATAGCATGCACTGACTGACTGACTTCGGGCACAGCCAGAGCTTATGCAGAACCTCTGAGCGCGCTGCTCCGTAGCCCGGTACGCGCATGCGCTCCGGGCCAGCCAGGTGAGGGCTCCGTGATAGCAGTCTCGCACCTGGGCTTTAACCCTTCCGGGTCACGTGCGTGGGCGGACGCCGAGTGGGAGAAGAGAAGCTGGTCGTAAACTCCTAGGGTCCGCAAGGCGCTTCCTGGAGCTTCTAGGCCGGGGTCGGTGCCCTTCTCGTTCGGGCGGGAGGGGGGGTAAGCGCGGGGCGGAGCGAAGTCTCGCGAGATCTGGCGGTAGCTGCGGCGGCGGCGGCGGCGGCAGCAGCAGCGGCCCGGGAGGTGAGCGGCGGACGGGCAAGAGGCGGCCGTTGGGCTGAGGAAGGGGAGAGCTACGGAGGGCGAGGCCGGGCTCGGGGAGAGGGGCGGGTAGAAGGCCCGTGTCCTCGGTGGCTCCCCGAGGCTGCTACGGCGCCGTCTGGTGCGCGCTGTCCCGGGACTCGCGCGGGGCGGGGCGGGGCGGCCGCGGTCTCCGGGCCAGCGGAGCCAGGCGTCCCTCTCTGGGGGTCCCTGCGCGCGGCCGGCCGCCACCCGATCTTCCCCGTCCGCCTTGGCTTGCACGGTGTCAGGCGCGTCACTTGCACGCTCCCACGCTGAACTGCAGGGAGCTGCAGCGCCCTGGCCGAAGCCACACTGCGGGGACGTGGTGGGGATGGGGACGGCCCACGCCCCGGACTCACCGTCCATCCTCCTCCCCAGTTCTGCTCGCGCTCTTCTCCTGGGGCCCCCGCGGGGCTGCGGAGGGTGCGTGTGCCTGGAAGCCCTCCTGAAATTGCACGCAGCGTCCCATGTTTCTAGGCAGAAAGTTTGCCCTGTCCCAGAAGGTTCCCTAGCCCTGAATGTTCAAGAACTATCTTTTGGCCCTGTGTGAGAGAGCAGACGCTGGCCGAGAGTGACGAGGGGTGCGCTGGGCGTGGGGTCTCAGGCCGGAGGGGTAGCTCAAGGCTTGCCTCAGGCAAAGGAAACTTTGAAGTTTCTTGTCTGAAGCCTTAGTGATTGTGAAGCTCGCCATCAAGGCCTCTTAACTTCTGTGGCAAACTTTTGTAAAGCCCACCTTGCCACCCTGACACGAAGTTCATAAATAATATACCTTTATAAATACGACCCAAGGTCAGTATAATGCTCCCATTTGGATGTAAGAAGAGGTGCTGTCGCGCTTGGATAGCCCAGATGCCCTGCTAGGAAGTAATACTGCAGACCCTGCAGCCTCAGGAACAAAGATTGGGACTTGAGAAGACCATCTTGGGATAATTGATGCTAATAAGAAAAACAGTGTAGGCTGAATGACAGCATACAAGATAAATCACAGCCTGAATCAGTCAACACTCAAATAATACAGCCCTCCAGGGGTATAGTACTCCATGCTACATTGTAACCCACGTTTTGCATCACAAAATCCGATTACCACCTTTTAAGGGATCACGTCAAATCCCTAATGTGTATCGTTGGTAATCAGGAAATAGAAGATTGAAATTGTTGCATTTGGCAGTAGAGGCTTCTCTTGTGCCTAGGAAGCCCTTTGGAAGTTCCCATGGCTCCCCGTTCCCTCACCACTTTGTCCTCCATTGTTAGGGCAGGATGATGAGTGTTTCCCAGAGTATCTTGCCAAATGGTTCAGGATTGAATCCTATAGTGAGCTCGTGGGCCAGGGTAGCCTGGATTTTCACCTCTACCACCCACGTGTTGTATGGGTCTAGATCCTGGATCCCAGGCCCAGATGCTTTCTGCTGCCTGCCGTCAAGAAGTCTCTGCAGTAATTAACAGTGTGCCTTGGGGACAGTTCTGCCCCCTTGAGAACCACTATATAAAGCACGTGCTCCACTACCTAGCTAATTATAACAATCTAATGCACACTTTTCGTTGGGAATTAAAAACAAAATTCTCTCTGATGTGTCTGATATATAAAAAAGACAGTGTCTTTGGTAAGTGACACTTTCATTGGTTACCTTCAAGTCTCAGGAGGTGGGGTTAATACTTGTTCACCTGCTGCTGTTTCTCTTTGGAGGGAATCCTTGTTGGGAATGTTGGTCACACTTGAACTGCTGAGCAGCTTGAGGTGAAAATGGAGTTGTAAGCCTCAGCAGCCTCATGGATGGTGATAACCGAGTGGCATTGAGTACCAGTCAGTGCAGCCCCTACATAAGCAACCTTTGCTGCCTTTGATAATCTTATTAGAGAATTTGGAGAATACAGATATGCTCAAAAGTGAAAACTAAAATTGCCCATCTAAGCCATTCTGGGGATGGCTCACAACAAAACTGTCTGTACCGGAAGTTGTTGCTGAAAGTTAAGCTCAGTCCGTTTTGTAGCTACAACATAGCAAATTTCTCCAGTCCGAAAAAGTAGTTTATTTTCACTTTTTTCCCTTTAATATAGTTGTTTCTTGCTATAGATTATTTATTCTGGTTGCTTATTACTCTAGGAAGGCACTGAAAATTAACATAAGTAAAGACTTGTGAAAATAGGATACATTTAAAGTTGTCAAGTCATAGATATAGTGAACTCTTCTGAGTTGAAAAAGTCATGTAAATCGAAAGTAATTAATTTTTATTGCTTTAAGCAAACACTGTCCAGTTCCCAGGTAATAAAGGCAATGCTTTTGGTTGTTTTGTTTTTTACTAATCACTACTTTAAAAGAATACTTCTGTTTTAGTTAGGGTTTCTATTGCTGCAGTAAACACTGTGACCAAAAGCAACTTGGGAAGGACAGGGTTTATTTTGCTTACACTTCCACATCGCAGTCCATCATTGAAGAAGGTCAGTGCAGATGCTCAGAGCCAGGATATGGAGGAAGAGCTGACGCAGAGGCCATGGAGGAGCACTGCTTACTGGCTTGCTCAGCCTGCTGCTTTGCTTTTTTTTTTTTTTTTTTTTTTTTTTTTTGAGACAGAATTTCTCTGTGTAACAGCTCTGGCTGTCCTGGAACTGGAACTAGCAGAACTAGCTCTGTAGTTCAGGCTGGCTTCGAACTCACAGAGATCCACCTGCCTCTGCACTACCACTGCCCAGCTCACCCTGCTTTCTTATAACATCCAGGACCACCTGCCCAGGGGCCTCTCACTAGTCACCAGTTAAGAAAATGCAGCATAGGCTTGCCCATAAGCCAAACTCAATTGAGCTTCCCTCTTCTCGTCAAGTTGACATAAGTCTAGCCAGCACAGCCACCTGTTCTTAAATGAATTGAGTACGAATTATGAATTAAGAGCATGTTTTGATGATACCATCTCAGAGAAATAGGGATTGTTCAAACATGTTCATGTATTGGTTGATTTCTAACAAAAAAAATTGAATCCAAGGGATGACTTACACAACGAAGCTACCCACTTTCCAGATCCTTCATCTTGACTGGAATTCTTTACTTTGAAGACTTAAAGATCACTGTCACTCTCGGAACCATTTTAAACAAGTGTTTAGAGGAAAGCCTCTTGGGATGGTGGCGTACGCCAGCATGAGGTTAACGTGAGTTACTTTGGTCGGCTGCTTAATTTGCTCTTCCTTTCGGTAAAGCATGTTGTTCTCCTGATAATCTTTTCTCGGATGGGTCATCCTTAGAGTAATTTCAGTGATTCACATTTGCTCCTGCATAGGAAGACATGTGTTTGAAAACACTGACTGTAGGAAGCAGACAGTGTATGTGGAGAGCTGTCCCCTGGTGTCTTAGCCATTCGACACCAAGGGCAGGCTCGCAGGAAACCCAACTGTATAACACAGCTTGAGCACCTTGTCCTTTTCAGGTTTTCAGGTTTGGTGGTCCCCCACTAGCAGCTCCATATAAAGCCCTAGAACTTGTTTGCCAAGCAGACAAGTGCTGAGCTGAGCCTGTGAGGAGCACCAGATGATGGGCTGTGGAGATGGAGCCATAGTTAATGTGCTTGCAGCACAAGTGAGCTCTGCAGGAGGCCCAGGGAGATGCTGGGTGAGTGTGGCAGCCCACCTATAATTTCAGCCTCGGAAGCTGACTAGTATGACCATATCAGTGAGCTCTGGGTTTGATTGAGAGAGCCTGCTTCTATGAATAAGGTGCAAGGACAACCAGGGATAATTCCTGACATCTACCTCAGGCTTCCATATGCATTTGTACACACATACACATGGAGCCACACTCGTGTACACACATGCAGACATGTTGGTATATAGAGTGTACAAACATACACATGAAAACAAAGAAGCAGCAGCAGAGTGGAGCGTGAACCCCCAGGACTGCTGGCCACCTGGAGCCTGGGTAGGTAGGGGGAGCACTTTGCATTTTACCAAGTCAGCCACGGCTGCTGCTCTAGAAACCATACTTTTAGCATCACTTTTAGCATCATCACATGCTTTGCTTGCCTTTCAATATTAAATTTAAAAGAAATATTCCCTCCTAATCGTTAAGTGTAAACTCTGGCTTATAGGCAGTTCTCTTTGTGTGATTATATTTTCCACATTTAAGAATTCTGTTTACGCCGGGCGGTGGTGGCGCACACCTTTAATCCCAGCAGAGGCAGGCGGATCTCTGTGAGTTCCAGGCCAGGCTGGACCGACAGCCTCCAAAACAATACAGAGAAACCCTGTCTTGTAAAACCGAAAAAAAAAAAAAGAATTCTGTTTATATGGACAAAATGTTCATATGACTCAAACACTTAAATAATGCAGGTATGTCCGGAAAGCCAAATTTCCAGTTCTCTTGGGTCTCCCCATATAGCTTTTATCTATTTCCTATAAATATGTCCATCATTTCTCTTTATAGATACGAGCAAATGTCAGTGGGTTGTAATTTTTTTATATAAAGTACAGTGCACTATGTAGCCTGTCCTAACGTGGCTTTCCATTAGTTACTTAGTTTATATGCTCTTGAGAGTGTTTGATGTTAGCACCTAGTAAGTGTATCGTGTTCATTTACAGAAAACATTTTTAAAAGAGTATTCATTTTTATTTTATGTGTATGAGTGTTGCTTATATCTATGTCTGTGTACCACATGCATGCAATGGCCTCAGAGGGCAGAAAAGGGTATTGGATTCCTTGACACAGGGGTTACAGTTTGTTGTGAGCCACCATGTGGTTTTGGGAAATCAAACCTGGGTCCTTCGCAAGAGCAGTCAGTGCTCTTAACTTCAGAGCCACTGGCATCTCCAGCCCCAGAAAACATCTTAAAACAGCTCTAGGCATCTGTTCTGTCCAGGGTTTGCTTTGTCTTCAGTCTTACACACTGTGCATACCATTGTGATGTACTCCCAGAAGTGGGGTTGCTGAGTTACTGGGCTGTGTGTTTTAATTTATAAATATTTCCTTGCTTCTTGAGTTGCACCATTTTGAACTTACACAGGTATGATTGTCCTCAGTTTCTGTGGAGGGTTGATTCCAAGACTCCTGTGGAGATAATGAAATCCAGGCTTGCTAGAGGTAGTGTTTACATATAGCACATAAACACACTTCACAGGCTGTGAAATAATCTGTGGATTACATGCTGTGCTGGCTTTTTTAATATCAACTTAACATAAGCTAAAGTCGTCTGAGAGGTGGGAACCTCAAATGAGAAAATGCCTTCAGACAATCTGGTTGCAGGCAAGCCTGTAGGGTTTTATCTTAATTAGGGTTGGTTTGGGAGGGCCCCATTGTGGGTGGGGTCACCCCTCAGTTGGTGTCCTGGGTTCTGAAAGAAAGCAGGATAAACAAGCAACGGGGGGGGGGGGGAAGCCAGTAAATAGCACCCCTCCTTGACCTCTGCATCATCTCCTACTGCAGGATCCTTCCCTATTTGAGTTCTTGTTCTGACCTCCTTCGATGATGAGTAGTGAGTGATATGGAAGCGTAAGCCAAATAAATCCTTTCCTCCTCAACTTGCTTTTGGTTATGGTGTTTGATCACAGCAATAGCAACCCTGGCTAAGACACATACACAGCCTGAATCAGTCGTGGTGCTATGCCGCTCTTGTTCACCCTCCACCTAGACTCTCCAGCCCCATTAAAGAAAAAAAAAAGACACTCTTTAAAAAAAAAAACAATTTATTTGTGTCTGTAAGTGTTTTGCCTGAATATATATCTGTGCTCTACGTCATGCAGTGTCTGTGGGAACCAGATGATGTTGCATCCCCTGCATCTGAGTTATAGATAGTTGTGAGCCACCATGTGCTAGGAATTGAAGCCAGACCTTCTGGAAGAGCAGCCACCAGTGCTCTTAACCATGGAGCCATTGCTCTAGATCCACATGTTTTTCTTTAAGGTTTACATGGTTTCTGTTGGTTTTCTATGGAACCTGAATTTGGATGTCCTCATTCTTGTTTCTGTTAAGTCTGTGGGTTTATTTCTACACTTCAGTCTCTGGTCTTTGTAAGATTTAACCTGGGGGTGTTGGGGGGGGTGCAGACTCAGCTGCATCACTGCAAATATTCTCTGTGCTCTGGTGTATTTGGCAAGAGCCTGTCTGGGAACTCAGTGCTGGCTGCCATGTGTGTTAGGCACATCTTTGCACTTTGTGTCCTTCCTTTCTAGAGGGAAATAGAAGAAGTGAAATCACATTAAAGAAATAACTCAAAAGTCTGTTTAGCTTTTTTCAAACCTGATTGCCTCATCTATAAAAGGAGTAATACGGAGGACACTAATAGACATACTAAGGAGGAAGGGGCAAACTTAAGTCTGCTCAACCACTGCCTTCTTGCATTCTGTTTCCTACACTCTCCTTGACATTTTTTGAAAGAGAAAGAGAAAAGCCACAGGAATGTTAAAGTTAGAATTAAGATCTTGGTCTGAGCAGGGTCATCACTTTGGTGATGTACCCAAGGTCTCTCTTTTGCTAGGCAAGTACTCTGCCACCGAGCTAAGAGTTCTAGCTTCACCCTCTTTTTATCATCAAATTTTGGGTAGAGTCTCCTTGAGTTTCTCAAGTTTGTCTCGAATTCACTATGTAATTCAATCAAGCGTTGTGCTTGTAATCCTCCTGCCTCAGCTTCTCCACCACCGGGGATTATAGGCCTACCCTAGTACAATCATTAATCAATACATTTGAGAATAGAGAATGAGCCTGACTAGCATTCAAGGCTTCCTTCTTGCTTTCTGGCCTGTCACTACTTAATCCTCCCTTGTATCCACCCTGGCCATGATGCTGCTAGGCGTGTCCCAAAGGCCTTGGGTTTCTAGAATACTATCCAGAATGTTCTGTTGCCTCATGCTGCCATTCAAGTGTGGCATTTAGTAAAAATTCATATCCAGCAGCTTGTTCAACTGGTGATTTGTACCTGAGTAGCTTGGAAACTGAAGAGATACCATGCTTCTCTTATGAGAAACACCTAATACCCAAGCAAACACCTGGTAGAGGCAAACCAGATATTAACCAAATGAAGGAAGACTCGACTGTGGTCTTCCTTTTCCTTGCAAGTCAGGTAACTCATCTCACCTATTACACTTAGCCCTTTGAGGACAGCCATAGGAACACAAACATTAGATGAATTGAGAGGTAGACTTCTCTTTATAAGAAGCTATACTAACAAAAGCATGAACAACATGTGTGTTCAAGAGCTGCCAAGGAGTACCTGGCTGGGTCATCCATGTGACCTTCAGTCTGTAGTTGACTGCTATTGGCAGACACACAGAAAATGGGTCCAGATGTTTGATGGCTGACTGAAGATACCCTGGTTGGTGCAGGTGGTCTGAGCACCATGCCAAGCTCCCAGCCAGATGCAGAATTAACATCATCTGAGGGTCCCTGAAGGATTTAGAAGTTTTCTCTTTGTTCAACTTTTTTTGTTTCCTGGCCATCCCCTTTTTGGTGATCTCAGTGCTCTGAGTTGTCTGTAACTACCTGCTGGCAAGCTGTTGGTGGTCAAGAAAAGGTAATTTCTTCTTTTTTTTTTTCAGGTTCATAATAAAGGTGCTAAGGAAGAGAATGTAAGACAGGACAATACATATTTTTATTGAGGTAAGTCTTATGATTTTAAAACCATTTCTTTGAAAATATAAATTTTTCACAATTTCCTTTTCTCTAATGTAATGGGTGGTTGTCTTAGGAGTGTTTGAGGTTATAAAACCTGGGGGTTGTGATGTGTGCAGAGGGGCTACAATTTAAATTTGTGCCATCTCAGAGAAAGAGAGCAAGAGAATGACACATATACATGCGCACGCGCGCACACACGGAGAGTCCACATGTAGAGGTCAGAGAACAACTTTTGGGAGTTGGCTCTTCCATTGTGACATTGGATCAAACTTAGGTCCTTAGGCTTTTGGTCCAAGTTCTTTCCCAACTGAGCCATTTTTGCCAACGCTAACAACTTTATAATAAAGAGATCACAATTACGCCGAGGTGGACTTGGTAGGCAGTAGTAGGCCCTGAGTGAGGAAGGTTTTCCTGTGCCTCCTCTGATAGTCCCTCTGGTGTCTTACTGGGAATAATATTGTAACCCCCCCTATGTTTCCCTACAACTCTGTAGTTCTTTGTTCTGGAATCCCTTTCTATGGTAGTATAGTAGTTGTTTATACAGCCCTTTTGTTTCACTGGTGAGAATGCCTTGAAACCCAAGTTCTAGTTACTTGGGGAAGTGAGTAGTGAATGGAAATCTTAATTCAAACTCACTGCATTGGTGAAATGCACTGTAAGCTGATCTCAAGGCTTTCTCACATGGTGACTGTTTAAAAGGGGGTGTCTCTAGCAGCTTCCTCCCATTGCAGGAAGAGTTTTGAGTTTAAACTGACAGCCTCAGTGACCACTGGACTAAAAGTTGGGCCGAGGTGGGAGGTTGAGTTTGAGCATTCAGGGCATGTGATTGTCAGCTTTCTCAATGGATCTGCTTTGCAGGCAGGGGGGTTAGGCTGAACTGTGTCAGGGAAGGGGTCTGCTGCTGCTGTGTGGTGGGAACAGTAGGCCCTCAGGGTCAGTCCGATGTGCTCTCTCCTTGTGCTTCTATGCTGAAGGAAGAGTTTTGGAAGGGGGTGGGGAGAGAGGAAAGCAGTAGCCTGGGGCCACAACTTATTTCCTAAACTCCACATCCCTCAGCTCCGTGTCCCATCCTCCCTGAAAAAGTGTTTCCTTGCCAGCCCTGAGAGCTGTGCCTTGTGTGTGGCCTGATAGAAATTCATCTAGAGCTAGACAGAGGAAGGCCGCTGCTTTGGAGCCTAGATGCTAATCTGACATCTAACATGAGATTACAGTACAAACTGGCCTTTTTCCTCTAGCATAGACACAGCTCCACACAAGCTCTTCTTCTTTATCTTTAGAGAGAGGAAGATGAAAGTTAGCTGTGTATGTTAAAACCCAGTAAATTTCATCTTGATTGCATTTCAGTCGATTCTAATGTGACAGATTTTTCCAGTCTGAGCTTGTTCTAGCAGCCTTCAGTCAAATGAGAATTGCTGTCAGGGGAAAGGATACCCTCCCACACCTCTCTCTGAGTGCTTGAAGCCATCCCACTTCCTTTTTCTTTTACCTTAAGAACTGACTGCTGACACTTGGGAATTATAATCAGATTGCATCAGTCTTATGGAAAGGTTACCAATTACTGTTCTGCACAATATGCACTTCAAGTGTCTCGGTTCAGTGCTTTTAAATGCCTGTTAGGTGAATGAAGGCTTTGTGTCACGCCCTGATTTAATACATTTGATGAGAGACTTTATTGATGGCTTCTTGTCTTCAGTTCTGTGGTGGGGGCTACATGGAGGAAGGAGGTTATTTAGGATGAAGTCTTCATGGGGTCTTTCGGTGGTTGCTCCATGAAGCTGGATCCTGGAAGAAGTGTGCCTAGTTAAGTGACTGGGACTGCGGGTAAGCCCTGCCTGGGATGTCACATGATGCTGTGAGCAGGAAGATGTTTCCTGGTGGAGCATTCTTGAGTACTGTGCCCTGTTTTCGTGACCTCATTTTGTTCATTCAGTATCTCACAGAAGGACACAGTGAGATTGTGAAAATTGTCCTTGGGCATGTAGCTAGTAGGTGTGTGGCTGAAGTCCTCTCCTTGGCTCTCAGATCTGTCGTATGTCACAGAGGATGTAGGTATTATGTTAGGAATGGTTAGAGTGTCTCCAGTGTTGTAGGGTCTGCAGTTTTGAACAGGATGACAGTCACACCATGTGATCCTCTCAGTGCTATGTTCTCTTGGTTTCCTACATCTTTAGCCATTGCCTGATGAAGTCTCTCGGCTTGCCAGGGTGTCTGACTGTGTTCAATACAGCATAGTCTTGTTTAATTTAGCCATGCTCAGAGGTGAAAGGCAGCTGACAGCCAAGTACAAACAGGCCTTCTGCAGGATGTTGATGTAGTGAGAGGAGAGAATGCGTGTTTCCTTTATTCTGTGCCAGTCAAGAGGCTGGCAGGTTTTCTCCTTATGAGGCAGAAGTGCTTAGACTTACTGAAGTAGCTGTGGCCAGCGGGAGGTGAGCTGTGTGTTGGAGAACACTTCTCCGCATACAGTCTTGAGTTGGTTCCATCCTATACCTACGGGCTGATTACAGATTGTATGCTCTTTTGTTCTTGGCTCTGTTTACCTTGGATTTCATTTTATGGTTGGCCACAATGGGGATTTATTGGTAGGAAAATCAATCCTTTCCTCGTTTGAAAAGATTGTGTGTTCTTAAGACAGATTATCCTGTCGCAAACAGATTCAAGTAGGCCTCTGAGTCGGGGCACTACTGTGCTATGCCTCTATGCCATTATTTCCTAAAATAATAGTTTTAGTCATACTTAAGTCACATACTGCAAGGTTCATAAAAGTGGGTTTTAGTGTGTTCACAGAATTCTACAGCAGTCACTATTGTCTAAGTTCAGAATACTGTGAGCTCTCTATAAAGATTGTCTAACCCTCCACAGTCACTTCCCACTCAACCCATTCCTGACAGTGCTAATCTTTGTCTTCTAGATTTAGCTGGTCTGGATATGTCATGTAAATGTATTCATTTAGTATGTGGTTCTTTTAGTTAGGGTTTACATTACTGTAGTAAAACACCATAAACAACTTGGAAAGGAAAGGGTTTATTTCAGCTTACAACTCTTGGGTCACACATGGTTACTCAGGGAAGTCAAGGTCGGGACTCAAGCAGGGGCAGGAACTCAGAGGCAGGAGCCGATGGAGAGGGGAGCTGCTCACTGACTTGCTCCTTGTGGCTTGCTTAACCTTCTTTCTTATAAAGCCCAGGACCACTGACCCAATATGTGATATTGCCCACAGTGAGCTGAGCCCTCCTCCATCAATCATTAATCAAGAAAATGTACAGTACAATAGACTTGCCCACAGGTCAATTTAGTGGGTCATTTTCTCAATTGAAGTTCCCTCTTTTCAAAAGACTCTGGCTTATGACAAGTTAACATAAAACTATCCAGCATTAGCGTGTTATTGAGGTTGTAGCAGATATCAGAGCCTCATTTTTACTTTAGTGTATTCTGTTGTGTGGATATACATATTTTGTCAGTTGGTGGACATTTGGGTGCTTTCCACCTCTTGACTTTTACATATACGTTTGTGAACTTCTTTTTTTGTTATGTTTTGTTTTGGTAGTGGCTTTTTTGTGTGTGCTGGGGCGGGGAGTGGAGGTGTACAGAATGGACTCAGATCTTGGAGACAAGAACTTCTTATTATCTCCAGTGATTGTTTCTTTTGGTCCTTTCTGCTTGGTGTGCTATGCACGGGCACCTGCCATCCATGCATGTTTAAGCCATGTGCACAGGGCACCCCACTCCACTTCACCCCACCCCACTCCACTCCTCTCTTCAACCAGTTGTAGGTTTCTGTGTTAACCACCACCCGCTGCACAGAGAAACTTCTCTGATGAGTCCTGAGAGCTGCACTAATCTGTGGGGAAAGAGACCCCAATTTAAAGAGGAGTTTGATGCTGGGTCTATTTAGCAGAACAATAGTAGTATGTTTAGTGAAGTGCCCAGCCACAAATCCATCCCTTCACAAGGGGAAAGGAACATCACAGAAGAGTGGGCAGAGACTGTAAGAGCCAGAGGTTAGGGAGGCCCAGAGAAAGCTGACTTCTGAATGTGACGGGACTTACGTGCTCATGAGCTCACAGCACCTGAGGTTGCCTTCACAAGATTAAGCCAGTCAGCATTTTAACATGGAGTGGGGTTATGACCCCCTCCCCCCAACTAAGGGGCTGTGGATAGTTGCTGGCTTCTAGGGAAGAGTCAGTTGTGGCCCCACTGCCAGGAGGACATGGACAGCACTAATTGGACTCCTTGGCTTATAAAAATAGAAAAAGAAGACAAGAGGTTATAGGAATAGGGAGGTGAGGGTGGAGTTAAGGGAGGAGTTGAGTGAATATGGTCAAATACAAGAATAAAAATATATATATTCTACAACAGCTTTTCAGTGTAGTCATAGTAAAGTGGAGGTTTACATCGATGCTTTGATGCCTAGGTTATTAGAAGCCCAAAGAAAGCCACTTGACTTGAGTTTCGTCATGCTTGTAGGAATGAAAGCATCCTCCTAGTAATGGGTTCAGCATGTGTGGTGGTGGTCTGAGGTCAGCCTGCTCCAGGGTGCCTGGTTCAGGACACAGCACTCTCATCAGAGTACCACGTCTTTGGTTGGCTAGGGAAGAATATTGGTTGTGGAAGTTAAATGTGTCCTGTTGCAGAGTTAGCATTTTGTCCTCAGTAGTAGGTAGGGGGATTGAGGCATCTAGCAGAGAACAAGGGGATACTGTTAATGTGTACTCTAGAGCCTGAGTGTGCTTTGTGCTGCTGTGCCTGAGAGCTGGTGACGACCCAAACTGGGTGCTGGGGTGCAGTGAAAAGATGGAAGCTGCAAAAGTACAAGAGTAGTTGTCAGGATCCTGGCTGTAAGTTAACAGGAAGCTCATGCACAGTATTGCAAGTAAGAGAATTCACAAACACTAACAACATTGCAGAAACCAGGAGGACTGCAGCCACCCTGGGAATTAGCATTGTGGGCCTCATCACTGGACAGGGCTGTCCTTACACTAAAG